AGAACAGATTATTAACATCAATTCTTTTCTTTATTAAATATGGGGTCAATTCTCACGTTCGTAAAATCACACGAAGCCATTTTTTACGGCCGAATTACGGGAAGCTTCTTTCTTAGCCTACGATCGTTTCGGCTCCATCAGCCTTCTCAGTAGAGGGTATTTTTTAGTCGAACAACCAAAGAGTGCGAACCTGTCATAGTCTAGCTATAGAAAAAACTCTGAAATTCGCTGAAAAAAGCATTTCGCTTGAAGATTTCGATGTGATAGTAACTCCAGTCTCATATTACACTCTATAGATCTGTTTGTCACTCACCCCCTGATGTCGTCACGTGACTTCAATTAAGGACAACAATAACATTTTTTTGGGGGGGGGTGTCCGTCTGTCAAAACATCTTATTTTATTAACTGTGATAAAATAAACTGAAAATAACTGATATTACACATTAGCCTTATTATAAACAAACTTAAAGACATATATCCTCTGTGTTTAATTTGATAAAATCCTGATTTTGGCGAACTCGTTATGTGAAGGACCCCATATTACCAGGCTTTATTTCTTTTCTGTCCGAAGGACGTACGTTGAATTTTTATACTTGGTTTACTACTCGGTCTTTCACGAACAGAAATACAGAAGCCGTGATTAGCCATGTACTTTATAAAGAGAAAACTTTATAAAATCATTGACTAAGACAAATACTCACGCCAAAATCTCGATGAATGTTCTATTCACATATTACAACTACAAAAACTATGACATCGTCTAAGACTAATGCAGATTGATAAGTATAGGCTTCGGATGTCAATCTTTCGTCACTAAAGTGGCTAAAAAAATGGTTTTAGCCATCATAAACTTTAGTGTAAATCTATCATAATATGTAAATAACCCAAATATTTTTAGCCATTTTAAACTTTAATGTAGATCTATCACATTATTATGTAAATAACTCGTTAATTCAGTTGTCTATAACTGCAAATAGTTTATTAAATGACCGTAATGCCTTGAACAATAACCGTAATATTTGACAAATCAATCGTGTCTGGAAGATTTCCATGCGAATTGAAATCTCAAAAGTTACCCCTGTTATAAGACTGGACCAAGGCATTATAATTTGCCAATTAATAAGGATGGTATTTCTTGATCTTAAGAAGACATTCGATATTGTACATCATGAAATACTACTACATAAATTACATCTTTATGGGATAAAAGGAATTGCTCTTAATTGGTTCAGATCTTGTTTATCGAACAGAAAGCAATATTGTCGGGTAAACCTTTCCCACGCACTAGAAATGGTCTGCGGTATACCTCAAAGGTCCATACTTGGACCACTATTTTTTCTTATATACGTGAATGACCTTCCCAATCGCTTAAAACATACAAGATGCAATATGTTCTTCGATGATTCACAACTTGATACATCTAGCAATAATATTGATTCGGTTGCTAACATTTTGAACAAAGTTTTGATAAACGTTTCTGATTGGATGAAGGCATGCGCAAATAAATTAAGCCAGTAAATGCTAGCCAAACAGAATACATGATTATCGGTTCTCACAAAAGGCTTCACCAAACTGAAAGTGATCCTCCAAACACTTTGAGCGACAGTGCCTTTTTTAACTATATATCTGGGGGGGAGATTGCGCCCGCCCCCCCTCCCTCAGGGAAAGTATCCCCCCCAGTAAAGCCATTTCTGCCGCCGAAGTGCGAAGCAGAATTGCTCATCATTGCTGTCAGAATTGCAGTTGATTAACTTAATAATGAGAGTGTGCCCTTCCATAGCCTCCTCCACGCCAGCCATCTTGTGTGTCATTCATATTGTTCTTCAGCAAATATTTCCTAATAGCGATATATTTCATACAAACAATCGGATATTAGCTAGCCTTTCGAAGTATTGCGACTATTCTCTATCGTTTCCGCTCGGCGGTTTGTTGATTACGATATTTTTTTCGGGACGATTTCGCGGCAATTTCTGTTTTTTCGCTTTCTCGTAGATTTGTTAATAAACTGATAATAAATTCACTTTGAATATTTCCCGCGAAATTTGGCTATGTCTATGAACATGGAAAGCCATATTAATGAGACCTTACAAACTACAAAGAAAGGAAAAAATGTTGCTGAAACAGCGGAAAGTAAGAAAAAGCACCACTACAAAGTGGCAAAAGTTGACAAAGTATTATTTTGTGGTTCCTAAATCTTCGAATACAGATCGACGCAGTGACAGCAGTTGATGCCGAAGAGAAACTGACAGATGAAGGCGATGAAGAAGTTCAGACTGAATCAAAATAGGCTGCTCTTTAAATTCGAACAGATGTTATTTGTTGAAAATCAACAAAAATTCAGTTTACAGCGAGAAAATTGGCTCCCGTAAACGACAGCTTGTTAAATGCAATATTTGTTCGCAATTTGAAACGAGAAACCCAAAAACATAATTGATCATTTGCATAGTGAAATACATCAGGCACCTTTGGATGCAAAAATGTACAAGGAACTGTGGGACAGTCACGACCTAAATCATCCTTTGGTAAGAGTTTCGAAAAAACAAGAACAAACAACAGTAGAACCTTATTACATTTTCGTAGAGCTTTGCAATGTGGTTATAGTGGTATCACTGATATTTAAGCTGGCTTATTTTTTGTCCTGACCCGTGTAAGAACTTTTAAGAAAAGCTAGGGTCAGGTGCGCGATAGCCAACAGCAAATCATTCGCGAAAACATTCAATATTTTCATTGGAGACCGCTATCTTTATCAGTGATACAACTATAACCACAATGCAAAGCGCTACGAAAACGTAATAAGGGGGAAAGGTCTATTGACGTTTATAATGATAGTAAACTCCTAACACCATACACAGCACATGCTGACCAGCTTATTTCTTCTCTAAACGAGGATGAGTTGCAGAGTCCATTCATTCCATTTGAACCAAGCTCAACAGATTTGCATTACAGAGATCCAAACATTTACAAAGAAATGCTTACCACTATTGCAGTGCTCGAGAAAGTGAAGCTGAAAGATGAAGTAAAAACAGCCATTAAGTTTTCCGCCCAAATTGATGGATCTGTAGACACCATGCAGCGTGACAACAAGTTTCTATTTCTAAAATGCAACTCTCCTGATAACTCATTAGAAATCAAGACAAAGTTTGTTGGTGTAACTGACTCGGATTTAAAAGGAGCTGCTGGCTTAGAAGATTGTGTTCTTACGGGCTTAGAACCAATTGAAGTAGACATACTTGTAATGAAAATGGCGAATCTGCTAATATACAGGATCTAAATCTGGCTTGTGGAAGAGGTTAGTCATGTGGAGCGAAAACTGATGAACTTTTGGTGTGCTTGCCATCGTTCTTACCTTGCAATGGAAGATATGGAAGACAGTGTTCAGTTGAAAGTTTGGAAGTCAAATCTACTTTCCATCCCAGAATACTACCACAAGTCTGCCGTCAGTACGAAAGAACTGACAAAAGTTTTTCCTACCATGAAGGCTTTCCCCACTTACCACAATGTGCGGTTTTCCCAGCATTTAAACAATGTCTGTATTGCTGTCCTTCATAATCAAATTGGATGCCTACAGCACTGGGATAATATTTCAAAAAGTAGTGATTTTGATACAAGGGAAAGAAAACGTGCTGATTGTTTCATTAAGCTGTGGAAAAAGGATGGAATACAGTCATATATCACTTCCATTTTGTCTGATGTATGATTTGTGTTTCTGATCTTGCAGAAGTACTTCCAGAAAGTTTGCATTGTTCTTCCTGACATCATGAAGCACAGAGATATAGCACTCCCGAATCTCAGATCTATGTTAGGTACACCATATGCTGGTGGTTCTGAAGAAACGTGGATAAAAGAAATTGGTCCCTTAGATGCTGAACGATCTGGACAATCTGCCGAGTCATCGACGCAAGCAAAGAGAACGCACACCTTAATTGATGGTTATCATCGGAGACGACCATTTACTACCATACGAAATGAGCTGATTATTAATGCAGCAATCAACTTCCTTGAGCAAAGATTGGACAATGAGCAGGAAGGCATAATGAAAATCATTGTTGACATCTGTGGTGCAAAATCAATAAATGATTTTGTTGTTGCCTCAACACCACTACTCGAATGCGCAGGTATAGTTGGTGATGATGTGAAGGAATTCACCGACGCTGTTTTCGAGATATTTGATGACCTGAAACCTAATTCATACGTTTTGGAAAAAGATTACACAGTCAGGATATTACATGTGCTGCTAAAAACCAACGTCACTTTTGAGAATTGAGATACATAATATTTTTTTATTTATTTTTGTATTTTCAGATATAGCACCGGCTTAGTAAAAGATCGGCTGTCTGCAATAGTGGTGATTTCACCTGATAGCATGACAGTTGAAAGACGTGTTTCAACATATGAAATTCTGTACTCGAAGCTGAGGACAACAAAAAATCAGAAAACGTTAAATGATAGAATGATCATAGCATGGAACGGTTTCCGAACCGCTTCATATGACACAACGCCACCCGTTGTATCCTTTTTCAACAAGAAAGAAAGACGCAATGCAAGGCCATGTCTTGACACATATAAACAAAGAGATTTTATTTCAAAAAGTTTTTCTTAAAAATTGCAAGTTATATTTAGAGTTATAGCTGTACTATTATAGCTACAAGCAGTAGAAGTTATTGTTTATATTATTAAAGTAAAATATAGCTGGAGTCAATAAATTAAAGTTTTACAATATATCTCTTCAGACTCGCGCGTTCCCAAAACCTCGACGGCTCGTATTTTTCGTTCTGCCTTGTTTTTCCTATTTTGCCCCCCGCCCAGTGAAAATTCCTTAAAAAAGGCACTGTTGGGCGACAATAAAATAAAAAGAGTCAAAGTTAAACGCCTATTAATATCTCAACTTAACCCTGTCCTTAATGCTAATATTAGATCTACCCCTCTTGAGTTATTTTAGTTATGTAATATTAACCTTAACTACACTAACCATACATTAATCTTTAATTTTTAACTAGTTACTGGTAAGTTATTTTCCTTTCTTTCTATTCATTTGTTCTTTCAAACTATGTAACCGTTTTTGTAATATTAAACCATTATTTTGTAAATATATATGCCATACCCTGTAAATTCATTGATATTGCTCTGAAGATGTTGTATTGTAAACAACGAAACGTTAGCTAATAAATTGTTTACTTTTATTATGTTTGAATTTAAAGTTATTTGCTGGGCTCTGCTCTTTATCTTTAAACTAAAACTTGAAGAGTATCGAGATTTTTGCGTGTTTGTCGGCAGTTTGACGTCATATTATGACGTTGCAGTAAGAAATTTACATTTGAGCATAATCATACCCCAGGAGTTTACGATAGCAAATCGATGACTGCCGAATACTTTGCTAAGCGATCTGCGAACGATGTACCAAGAATGGTTTTGATCTGCAGCTTTGTTCAGCTTTGTGGCATATAAACACGAAGTCAGGAGCGAAGCAAAGACATTTTTTGTATAAATATACTGGTCTTATCATATTCAAGTTTTATGAGAAAGGGAGAATGATCCTTTTGAGGTACATATGTGTGTCAATTTGCTGGATTTTGGTCACTCAGCACATTACATATATTTGAGATAGTAATGTGGCCATGAGTGTATAACTGCCCGGTTAAGAGATTTTAACTTTAAATATATTTAATTTATTTTTGTAGCATATTCATCACAAACTCTATGTAACGCGGAATGTTGTGCGTGTATGCACGCCTTAATAATCAGGGTTTATAATATAAATACATTCCTATTGCAACCCAGTGTGGATTATTGTCTGCTTATATATTAACTTACCAGCATGCAGTTACAAGGTTTGACGGTCAGACTGTACAAATATACCTTTGCGGGCTTTGAGATATTTTCATTGTTAGCACAATATGAAATAATCCTACAGGCCTTCATTCATACATTCACCTGGCTGTGTCACCACATTTCAGGGTATACAATATTTTCCAATAATACTCACAATTTCTTTCTTATTATATATAGTTTTGCAGTTCTGACTGTGTACAATCTTAGTCATTACAAATGAATGGTGTCATCTGAATTCTGAAGCTAAAACGTATTAAACAAAATATGTCAACAAATAGATTTTGTCTCCCCATCAGCAGATTGTTCAGTACGTTGTTCGGCGATAGGAGTAGCCTTGAAGGTGCCATTAAAACAATAATTGGGACAAAAACTGGCTTAGTATTTCTATTTATGAAATTGTTTATTGTCATGAAATTCTACATGTCCAATGATTCATTCAAGTACTATTATTGTTTATACATATGGTATTATTGTACAGTATTCAGTGGCATGCTTGAATGGCAACTGTTCATGGTATGCTGATAGACCTGCAATGCAAATCATTAAAAACCGTAGCATCACCTGTTGGTACGGCTAGCTACACCAATGACAGCATTATAATTCTAGATACAAAAGCAAGAACTTATAAGCATTGAAGGTATTCATATAAAAACGGCCATGCCAAGAATGTAGAATTTGAATATTTAGCTGACTTTTACTTTGTGCAAGGTGTTTGGTATTCAAATTGCACTTTTCCTACCTCCTGAACAGGTATCTTAGAGGCTGTTTACATTATGGGATGATTTTGATGTATTGAAATAAGTCAACAGGATAAACAAAAGTTCAAATTCTGGGTAACAGAACTCAAATGATGTAGAGCAGATCTTGTTGTTCAAGGAGATTATTATTGTTGCTTTTAAACAACCTTTCAGTTTACAGGTAACTATTGCTATCTCTCGGAAAAAATGAAGTATTTTTGCTGAAGCGTGCACCGTGACTTATTTAAATACGTATCATCTAAATCATCCCGCCTGATATATTTTCCTGGCAAAGTGGGATCATAAAAACAGCCTTTTATTCAGCAAATTGCGCATGCTGCCTTTGATCCCTTGGGATGAGGCGGCACTTTCCTTGAGATAGTAACTTCTAGTATTAAGTATAGCCGACAATGTTAAATTTTTTACAAGGTTAAAACCAATATGAGAATAGCAATCTTGTGCGCTTTGAGGATTTTTACGATTTTCAATTTTCCTCTGGATGCTATGTTGGTTCCAGGCGAGATCGGTCAAATTTTTCCAAACGGCCCATGACAGGTACGAGGCAGTGCTGCTACTAGAGAATTTATAATTATGTGCTTGATTTCTGATAGCGATACCGATATCGATGTATTCACTTCCGTTCTTATTTTGGTACCGGGAATTTTAAAGCGTTAAGTTATCACGACAGATAAAATACAGAACACACTAATTGTCACCGAAAATGGGCGGTATACTAAACGGCAGCTGAACTAAAATTCCCAGTAAAAACACTCAGGCGATACTAATAAACAAATAATTTGCGTGTTTATCGAAAAAATTGTGAAATATCCGATATATATGAGTTTAATTAACTTACAATTCGATCTCACGACTTGTCCCATAAATGAGCTTGAAAAACCGTTAAACAGCCTGCCGGAATGATTTGATACTCACCTGCTAGATTTGATACCCACCTGCTAGATTTGATACCCACCTGCGATAAGCAATCTCATTGGCTAATAACAGTTTTATTTGGCTTTTTTGGTAATTTTTACTCAAAACGTCTGGAAATTTTGTTCAGAATTCAAAGTTCATGAGATTCAAAATGGCGTCAGTGTATATTTGTTAATAAAACAACACGATGACTTTTATAAATCAAGATGAAACCCCTTCGGTAAGATAATTGAACAGCTTATATATTTTGTAAAGTCTTGTTTATGGGACAAAAAAGTTACGACATGATTTTTTCGGTAAACCGCAATTGATATCCAATGGAATATCGATATCCAATGGATTTGATTCCATTGGATATCAATTGCGGTTTACCTCAAAATCATGTCGTAACTTATATTCCAAAACAAAGCCGATTTCGGTAGTGGTGACTTCCAATACACTTGTCCTCGTGTTTCTTGCGAGCAGAGCGCATGACTTGTTGTTAGTATCGGTATTTGGTAGCGGAAGTTGAACTTAAACTCTCTTATATGGCGTTTAAACGTTCCCCAGCTAACAGTCATAAAAACTTAACAATTTTCAGCGAAGGCCCTTCGACTTCCACAGGACGAAAAAATAGATTTGCTCCAACTTTGCAACCCCCTGCAAAGGTGCCATTGCCGTAATCGCATCAAATTTGCCATTGTGCAAATTTTGTTCAAATTTGGAAAGCAAATTGGTAAATAAATTTTTACCCTCATATTTGTAAATACAATTCTCTTTTTTGAGAGAGAATGGGTATAGGATAAATTTGGCTCAAATTACCTTTCATTTGCACAAGTGAATTTGTGGGTATTTTCGTCCATAATTTGGTTTCTAAATTTGCCAAAATATTTGCAACCTTGCAAATTTGATGCGATTACGGCAATGGCACCTTTGCACCGGGTTGCAAAGCCTAGTGCAAATCTGTTTTTTCGCCCTGTGTTCGTCCGGAAGTTGGTAGCGTAAGAGATACCATGCACGAGAAATATCGCAACTAACTTCCACGAAGAATGGCCGTGTCCTCGAAACGTCGAAGTCAACTGCCATGCCGGATTTTAAAGCAAATTCAAAATCGTAATTTCGTTTTGCACATTATGCGAAAGACGTCGTTAAAAGCCTGAGGCAACTATATGCAATAACAACGTTGCAGTTTGAGATAACTGTTTCGTGTCGTACATACAGGGGCGTAAGAACTGGGGGGGGGGGGGACAAGGCTCCCAAGTTTTCAGAAAACACAAAAAGTGCCATTTCTCCGGTGGCAAAGTGCCCTTTGCTTTCATGAAAAATGTTGTTCAGAT